TTCGTATTTTTAATCTTCAGTACAAAAGCTCCATAACTACAGCAAAGCATTAGTTTCCGATGACTAGCTACCTTTTTTTCCTATAGCCTCTGGCATTAAAGCTCTCAGTGAAAAGACACTTTAGAGCTAGTTCAGGCAGTTCATTTTCTGTCAATCAACTCTCAGGCTGGAAGTATAAAGGCAGTAACATGACAAGATTTCTATTTTAATATCTTTACTCTTGATAAGATAATCCTAGAGGAATGGTGGTGATCAAATATTTACAGGCAGTGCTCACTGGCACAGTCTGTTGTAAAATTAAATACACAAAATTATGTGGGGATAATGTTAATGTTGTGATACGAGGACAAAAGGCAGCACATTTGAAATGAAGGTTGACTCTTAATATATTCTCCTCTGTGGCAAGGACCAGCGCTGCCGCACTAAGAACAGAAGAGCAGCTTTCATTTTACATTTGGTGACCTTTTTCAGCTTTTCAATAGCCTGTTTGTTATATAAATGTATTTGAGTACTTAATGATTTTGCTTTTTAAGTATGTATTTGTGTGTATCTGTGTGTGTGCGCGTGCGCACGCGCATGTGTGAGCCTGCGTGTGCATTTTTGAAACGCACCAAATGAACGTTAAAAGCCTACAAATGTGCTAGTGCCCTAAAACTCACAGAAGTGCCTCTGTTTCTGTTTTAGACAACGGGAGACTTATAGCAAATACACTCTGAGAGAAACCTCTGAAAAGTGGATTTTTTTCCCCCTTTTCTCTGTGCTGAGGGCTCTGGTCCGTGGAAGTGGGACATGCAACTCCTTGGAGGCCCTTCGGTGCCCCAACTGGCCGTGGCGGAGAGGGGCTCCGGCGGGGGCTCGCACAGCGCAGCACGCTGGGACCCCCCCCCCCCCCCCCGCAGCCGTTATTTAATGCTGTTCTGCGGAGACTCAGCCGGAGCCCTGGAAAAATGAAGCGCTGATTTAGGCTGAAAGGCCAACGCTAGCTAATATGGCAAATTACTCTAGCAATCATCACTCTTTTCCTGTCACTATGGTGACAAAAAAAAATGACAAAAGCGTGAGCAGAAAGAGATGGGGTGACACAAGTAAGGAGGACCAAAGGAAATGTTCAGTAGCCGCGGCCAGGTCGGGGGCTCAGCAAAGCCGGGGATGGAGCGGGAGCCTCCAGAAAGTGGGCTGCCCCACTGCTCTCATTGACCAACGGGGTTGTGTCACGTGTCTGTCTGCAGGCACCTGCACAGGTACACAAGTAACACTCAGACCCATGTTACACCAAGTGCTCCGATCCAGGCAGCTATCACAGGCCTAAAAAAATCCTAGCTGAAGAAGGCTTTTGTGTCACAGCTTTGATCCCAATGCACTAGGCATTTACTTTCGCACCTCCTTCCTCGATAGCATTTGGCAATTTGCTGCCTGCCTGAAGGACTGGGCTGGCAATCAGCCTGGCTGGCCCCGGCCCTAGAGGATGCGCTGAGAAGCCCTCTCTTCCAGCCGCAGTAATGACAACCCGTGATGGAAAAATACATGCCAAAAGCAGGGGGCTCAAAGAACCAGAGGACACAGCTTTCAACCAGGCATGAGAGGAACACCCTTTGCCAGCATTTGCCGTCAAAAAAAAATGCCTGTGACTGCTTGCTGCTTCACCCCTCACCTCAGCAACCCAGCTGGCTGGATTTAGCCCAAGGCCCTTCCCAGCACTTACCTCCTCCCCCAAGTCCTTGTCGTCCTCCTCCCAGATCTGTCCCCACAGGAGTCCCACTGCCACCTAATCCCAGGGATAAGTTTGCCTGTAGAAAGCTGCAGCAAACAACTTGGTGCTCTTACTCAAGAGCGCACTCTTCCTCTTTTTTTGCTTTTCTCTAGAGAAAAAGATATTTCCCATGAAAAGGACGAACAAAAACATTAGCCACATGCTGCTCAGCTCCTAGACACCCTCCCCAGCACTGGTTCCCCTCCCATGAGCTTTCCCAACCACTTCTCCTGCTAACTGGCATTGCTGGGCTCCTGGCCCAGCACCTCAGAGTCAGCATGAGCCCCAGGGCTGTGGGTCCCTGGGCACCCCGAGCCCCAGCCGCATGGCTCTGGCTGACTGGAGATCCCCAGGCACCTTCCTAAAGGGTAGTGGCCAGGTGCCGGCGTGGCTAGCATCATGTTTGCCAGCTCTCAGGCTCCTAAACGGCAGGTCCTCGAGTTTGTGAACTGCCACAGGAGGATGAATCAGAGAAATTCCATACAAGAAACTGGGCAATGCCAGAGTACAGTGAACAGTCAAGGACACCTTTGTGTCCCAATTCGAAAAGGTCACTGCAGCTTGATGCTAGGTCTCCAGTGAGATGTCCTAAAACTTGATGCATTGAGGAGCTACTTAGGAAGTTGAGCAGCCAGGCCAGCCGATAGCAAACTCCAAAAATCCTATAACTTTGTCTTAAGTGTATTTTTTTTTTCTTGGAGTCAGCTTCTAAGAAAATGTGGATGGGAGAGGAAAGGGAGAAAGAGCAGAACAGGGAGGTGGAGGGAGCAGTGGAGAAAACGTTCATCCTGAAATGCAAAGCCCCCCTGCCCCATCAAATCTTTTCTTTTTTTTTCTTTTTCTTTCTTTTCTTTCTTTCCTTTCCTTTCTTTCTTTTCTTTCTTTCTTTTTTTTCTTCCAAGAAGAGAAATTGTATTTTCCACCCAGCTCTATTCAGGAGTGATTGTGCAGAGCTCTGCTAATGGGCTATGCCAAGCTGTGGTCACCCTACAGAGCTATTGGCAGGAGCGGTGGCAAGTTGGAGAGGACTACAAGGGAACTCGGCATGACATTTTTTGATGAGCTGATTATTCAGAAATTTCTCAAGAGCTGAAATACATCACTCTGTTCTGAAACTCAGCCCTGCCAACACTCAGGACAGCTTACATGAGCAGGAGCATTTTCTCCTTCACAGTGCTGCTGGCTTGTGCGTTAGGAACCAGACGCAGCAATCGGACAAGGCGTTTCAACAGCCATCGACCGCATTGACAGCTAAGGATGGGGAGTGGGTAGGAGGGCACAGGGAGCTGAGATAGATAGAAATGATTTAGGTGCCTTCTTGGCTGTCACTGTGTGTATTTTGGAGCTTCAGTTTTTCACTGGCTCCTTGGGTGCTGGAGCACTGTGATTTTTACTGTTTTACAGGTAGGCAGTGAGAGCCACCAGCACATCCCACAGGATGCAAGCAGCTCCGTGCCGCCCGGCCCAGCCGGGAGCCTCTGTCCTTAGCCACCTCCGCATCCAACTCAGGCTCCCATGGAGACCAAACTGTTGTTTTCCCTCTCTCTGCAACATGAATTAAAACCAAAACACCACGTTCTCAGAGTACACAGGGGGTGTGTAGGGGGGTGATGGCTGAGCTGATTATTTTACTGCACAAAGACTTCAAGGAGCCGATGGGGCAGGACTCCTGGCCCTCACTCCACCACACTGGGAGAGCCTTCGAGCTATCCGGAGTGGCAACTGACCTGCCGCAGGGCAACAGGGGCCGGTGCTGGTGAGGCAGCTTCTGCATCTGGAGCTGAATTACTGGAAGGTAATTAAAAAATACCCTTGTGCTATACTCACCACTGTTGTTGAAAGCAAAGTATAGTAATGCCCGTCTTCCTCAGCACAAATAGATCTGCCACAGGACAATTAGCCATTTCCTTTGTTTTTCTCCGTGAAGAAACATAATTGTGGTCTAGATAAGTGTTCACACATTGAAAAACCAAGAAGAAATGGGTGGAAGCAGGGTAGGTGTGACCTTGTGCGGTACAACATGGGCCCAAGCTGCCACCACTCCAAAGCCTTTGGAGCTGGTTTCATGAGGGTTTTGCCCAGCCTTGAAAGGAGATATGCAGGAGCAGATGCCAGGCAGGGGTCTGAAGGACTGTGCACCAGGGCTGCCTGTCATGGCAGGGCCCATATTCACAGGCCAATGGGGTCCCACCCCGACCTGTGCTCTCGGCAAGGCTGGCCCTGCGTACTCCCAATAACCTGGCTGCTTTCCTGCCTTCGGCAGCTCTTCTGCAATTCCTGCTTCAAAGCAGGCAAGACAGAAGCGGGCATCTGGAGCCAGATCCGACTCTTACCCTGCTCCTACAAAAGTCAATGAGGAGCAATGCAACTGAACACAGCTGTTTTGCTAATGAAAATAGAGGCAACACAGGCACCATCGTGGCATCCCCTTAGAGAAACTGCTCACTTCAATGAAACAAACTTTCTGCAATCCAGAAAGTCTGGGAAACTCATTTGCATATAAAGGACAGGGAACGAGGTGCCACGCTGTTTAACAGCAAGCGGCAAGTACGAGAGCGGGATATGATCAGCTCTGTCCTGCGTCATTAAGCCACCCCACTGGGACCATTTCACTCCCGCTGTGTGTCTGAGCCCCTGCATGGCTGGCTGACCTCTCGGACTTTTGGATTTTTCTAATGTTTTCTCCTTTCAGTGGGGGGCTCCGCACCCAGCAGCACCCACGGAAATTAATACAAGCCTTTGGCATGCTGGTGCGGCGGGCAACCCGGGCCCTGCGCTGGGGCAGGGGATCGAGCTCGGAGACGGCACGGTTCAGCGGCAAAGCCCTGCAGTGCCTTCAGCACCGCGTATCTTGGCATTTCCAGCAACTGGATCTTTGTATGCAGTGCCCCATCTAAGAAAATTAAATCTATAGGACACCGTACTCACGGCTCAGTCTTTAGAAAGCAGGGGGGTTTACTCCACACACTGCTGCAGGGTGTCATGTACTTCATGATCTGCCTTTTCTAATCTCCCCTTATCTCTCACTCCAACCCTTTCTCATGTCCCTCATCTCTTGCAAATTCCCTTTTTAAGCAGGAGCGAAGCACATAAATATTTCCATGCTGCATAAATAGGTTGTTTTGTGCATAATACCATGGGAGGCTTTTTTAAAAACAGGACCTTTAGCGCTGTGATAACAGCCTTCTCATTTACACAGATGAAATGTTCCATACAGCTCAGCACTCATCTGCTAGGCAGCCCCGGCACAAAACGGCTGGCGCGGCGCCCACTCATCATGGCCTACAGAATTAATACTGGAATATTCCATACTTAATAAGACGCCACTGAGTGTCAGGTTTGGAAATACCTTGTAAATGAGATTGATGTGCAGGTTTTCTATTTAGCACTTTCCCTGTAGCGCAGCCATTGTCTTCCTTCTATGTGAAATCACGTCTGTGTTAAATATTAAAATGCAAAAGGAAAACCGTTTGTGTTGGCTCATTTGCCACGTTCTTCGCAAGTCCCGTCTGCTCACCTTTTTTTCTCCGACGCTTCTTACCACCCTATCTTCATTTCTTGTTTATTCGGCCCTTGTTCAGGGCCACAGTAGATCTTTGAAATCAAACTGGCTTTTCAGGGACAATATTTTAACAGCACCACAGTAAAACGTGGAATCAAGCATTAATATGTGCATTATCATTTTTACATTTGACCAGCACAAAGACTTAGGGAAGACGATGCCATATACAAGTTCGTCCGTTGTGCATTTTCCTACCTCTCGGGTTAGGTGGCGACCCTTCAGGATAGACTGTTCTAGAACATTTTTGTTTGCTGCAGACAGTGAACACGCTGTGCTGCCAGGCAGGCAGAGGAATGCTCCACTCTGGTTTGGACCTGACCCTGAACTCCTCCAGAGCTCAGCTCAAATCCGCGCCTGACGGCCTCATGCAGCACAGCTCTTACTTTCAAGGACTGTGAGCACAGTATTTCCCATCTGGAGTTCAGGCAACACTGAAAACTTATGTTGTAGCTTCCCCACAATTCAAGAGTAAGATTACTGGTGCTCTTTTCATGCGTATCTTGCAGACTCATTTCTTCTCCCTTCCATCTGTTGTTTGACTTTTTTCTTTATTATGTGTTAGCAGTCAACAGCTAAACCATTGCAGGTTTCTTCCTTTGCAGGGCTCTGAATGTGGCATTTCTTGCAGAGGGAGCGTTCCACATGGATGGCTACCACTCTGATGGTTTGTTGTTGCAATCAGGACGTTCCTGCCAGCCTAACCCTAATGTGATGACTATCACATTAGCAGCTTTACATATTTATTGATTTACAGAAGCGTTTTGTATTGCCTTAAGCTCCTGCAGCGTTGTACCCATGCATTAAAAGCAACGGAGAAAGGAAGGATCTTAAGAAAGGTTACACATTTCTTTTTCTGCTATCTTATCTGGCAAAGCAGTAGCTCTTCAAGTTTATCTTGTCGAGGCTATAACAAAGCCTTAGTTTCTATGAAATGTCATATTGCTAAAAGATCTAATTTTTCTGTGATACAAATACAACAACAGAATCTCAAAAAGCACAACATGGAGCAAATGCTTCGTAATGTATCTAACACAGGATCTATAAGTTTGCTAGCATTTTATTTCAATTTAGGCCAAGGGACAATTTTAAAAGATTCTTTCCCAAATTCACAATTCAGAAAAATATGAGTTACTACTCAGCGTAGTATTTTGAACCAGTGCTGTTAGTTGTTTTAGCTGAAATTCAACCCTGATGATATCCAAAGGTCCAATAAAATTTTTCAAGGAAGAACGCCATATTTGTAGAACATAATAAAAATGTGTTCAGCAGCAGTTCCAGCGCCACTGAGAACTGGAGAATGAGGTCTTTCTCAGGGAGCTTCTTATGTCGTGCGATGTTTTAGAAACACATTGTCACCTGAAAAATATCAAACATAATAACAGACAGTTAAATGTAATAGTATCTTTGATCTGTGTTAGTAAGACAAAATGTAAGGCTGTTTATGGCTAATGAGTTAGGTGCTCATTAATGTGTTCCAACAGAAAACACTGACAGTAATAGGCAAAATGAAATGTTCAGTGTTATACCCAGACACAGTACGTTTCAGCTCCTATTACAGTGTGTGCTATAGGGAAAGCAGAAAATCACTGCACACAACTACTTTAAAATTATATATCAGAGCAAGAAAGATGAACATTTGTTTGATTTATTATATACTTTTTCAATGAAGTTCACTTCCAAATAGCACTAATGCCTTTCTTTCACATTGTGCTTTTTGTTCCTGACTTGCAAAGCACCCTCAAAAAGAGGTCAGGATCATTTTAAAAAGACAAACATGAAGCACAGGGAAGTGAAGTTGCATCTCTGATGTCGCTGAGCGAGACAGCACAATCCCCAGCTCTGTTGACCGCTAGTCATAGGAACAAAGGATTAGAAAGGGCATCTTGCGCCATCAAATCCAGCTTCTTACTCTTGAAATCAATTTCGCTATAATAATCTCATGCAAGAGTCTTTGGGGCACACGATCTCTTATATAAACGCCTGCAAATGCTCTTTCAAAATCATCATCTATTTTATATCCTCATATATCCTGATCCTGCAGTGGGAGTCCGTATAACAGCAAGGCATTACGCCTTAGTGATTTGGGACCATCGTCCAGAAAACGTCCCTGTGTTTCAGAGACTGGAGAGCAAATGGGGAATTTCTTCTCATGTCTAATCTGATTTTCTGTACCTCTTGGTGGTCCACCGTGGCAAAAGACCAGCAATAGGTGCCACAACAGACCTGGAGGGTTTTCCTCAAGCAGAGAAACATGAATGTTGAGAGCCTGAAAACTGCAGCTGACTACAGCCATGAAAAGTGAATGCTACCTCCCTGGACAAACTCATGTTATAACTGTAATAGTAGTTAAACATCTTCACTGGAGGCTTGCAGCAGTCCACAGATGCTAATGCAAATGGGGCATCTGGGTTTATCCATGCAAATACCTGGCCTTTCATGTAGGTGCTGACATCCTGGCAAGCGACAAAGCCTCGGATATGCTCAGTCACACGCGCCCCATCACACCCCTCTTGTTTTTCAAATAAATACTAACTGGGAGAGCGATTAACGCCTTTGCACCTACACAGCCTAGATACAAAAACTCACACAAAGGCAACTCTTAAGCTTGGAGGTCACGTTCCAGTTGCTGGTTTGAGTGTCTCTCTGGACAGTTCTATTATGCAGCAACTACAGCAATAGGATAACATGATACAACCCTTTGCTAATAATTGAGTGTGAAGTGGGCTTTTTGCTTGGTAACTTCAGTTTTGTGCGCTCACTTTAGAGCACGTTCAGAGCTAGCTTCAATACTCAGTATATTATTCAGCTTATTAAACACAAAGCTGTTACCCAACTGTTAGAGGAGGGCACAGCCCCTGAACTTGTTTCCCTTGCTGCTGTTGCTGCTGTAACTCCCCAACCGCCCACTTCTTTGTTTGACTGTCTTTCCTCCCTGAAACATATGTTTCCCCTTTAGATGGCATTTTTGAGCAACAGTTTCCATTGTGTGCCCCTCTTGACTGACAGTTTGATGGCAGCCTGTAAATTACTTGGCACCTGTTTTGTGAATCTGCTTGAAGGAGGGTCTGGCTGCTTAGTCAATGTGTCTTTCCGCAGTTCTGTGGGCAAGAGCCTAGCACAATTTTAGCACAGGTTTGGGTATAAAAGTCCTTGACCACACTTGATACTACCCTTATTTGAAACTCAGCGTTGCCCTGTACCTTGACTCCTATTCTGCCCATCGATTGTGCTTGGCCTTCCCCATTTCCCTCTCGTACAATGCAACACGCATAAAGCTAATGATGGCTCAAGAATGGATCAAGACTGAAAATACTTGATATTTGACAGACAGCTCAGGGAAGTATTCAGGCTTCTGGATGTGCAAGTTAGCAGAACATCTGGCCCTCTGTCAGCTCTCTTTGCTAACAGTGATGCATTTGCTGCTTTGCCTCTATGTTGTACAAATGTGTCTGTGTCTCTGGCCATGACATTTCTACCGTAACTATAATTACAGGATGCAAGCAGTGCTGTATGGAATTCATGTACTCCGTAGAGCTGCATTAAATGGCCACCTGCAGGGAAATGGAAGTCCAGATAATGAGATATATTCCTCCTGGTACCGCACCACTTGAAGCCTCAAAACAAAGCCCTAGAATAGGCGCAAGGGGCTACATTATGCTTGTACTGGCCTCCCACAAGAGGAATGCATTTCACTTATAATGATAACTAACTCCATTGCAGCTTTGTTTTCTTAAGAATAATTACATGCTTCAACTAGAACAACCAGTGCTGATTCTGAGGCTGCTGTGCATTAACATATCACGTTTATTCGGGGAAGCCTTTTGCCCTGAACTCTCCAGGGTGGGAATTACTGCTGCACATGGTCACTGCACTTCTCCTGGCTGTTTACATCTCCCCTCGAGGAGGCAATTTAACTCCTGTGCCCCGGCCTTCTTCCTGCTACAGAGGTGGTGGCTCTGGATGTCTTAAACCTGAAAAATACCAGCAAGGGCCAAATTATGTCTGTCTGTTGCCTTTCTGTTGATAATAACTTTCCTTGCATTCCACTGAGATGACAAAAAGATTATTTTACATGTACTTGTTTCTTACTGCAGAAAATGAATAATTTTAGGGGAAAAACATAGACCCCTATGATCTGATCCATCTTCTCTCTGCTATTTCCAACTATTAAAAGTGTAATGTCGCTCTGAAGCGCACACTTGGAGTGCTGCATTTTCTTCTACTGACAGATTGTTATGATGTTTTCCAAGGTGACCTTCATAAAACATGTTTCTTTTGAAGCTTATATTTCACTCTCCGGTCACAATAGTTCCACACAGACAAGCAAACCATCAGCTCCTGCTTTCTAATTAATGGTTCTTGGAGGCTGCTGAGTGGGGGATATAATTAATAGCACTTAAGTCTGAAGTGCAGAGAAATCTATAGCTGATTACTAGGATGTGTATTTACTTAGGGATTATATGCAAACAGCTCCTAAGTGCAGTCCTGAACAGCTCTCACCAAAATCCCCAGGACCAGGCACCACCTTTAGTCTTACTCTGTGTAAATGCTCAAAAAACTGCTCTGCTCAGAGAGCGAGGCTCCTGCGGCTGGCAGGACTTCCCGCCTGCTGTAGCCCTCTCCTCTGCTCCCGTTTCCTCATAGCAGAGTCCCACTGCTGGGAGCACTACACTGGTGCTTTCTGTCTTTTATATGGCTGTACAGTGGTTCTGCTTGCCAAGGGGCTGCCTACAATGGATGAGCATTGATTGCACCCTACAGAAAATACCTCTGGTTGCATCTGTGCCATCTCTGTGGCACCCACCCGGGAGACAACTTGGTCTTTGGGCCACACTGTTCTGGCACAGTGTCCTCTGGAGCAGACTGGCTGTGCTGGCACTGCACAGTACATGTCCCAGATTCCTCTCCGCAGTCCTGAGACATAATCATTATGTTAGGTTTTTATTCAGTTCGGAGTGCCAGAAATAACGGGAGGGCTTTTCTTACAGCAAAACAAACAAGGAAAAGTGTTGTGAGCCAAACTGTCAAACTTGAATAAATGTAAGGAAAGTGATGGGGTTGTTCTAGAAAGGAGCTCTGGTGCTCACTTTCACGCGTGCAGCAGGGACGGTCAGGGGTGCTGGAGCCAAATCAGGTGCAAAGCCAAATTGCCAGTGTAAATTCCCTCTGGTCAGCTGCTGCTAACGGTGCTAATTTCTGTGCTGAAGTCAACAGAGTGGCATCTTTTCATGCATGCTGAGATCTCAGCGCAGAAGAGAAGGTTGTGAGGCAGGATGAGTGCTCTCAAAGAACGAGACTGTCTCTCTTTCACAGTGGGGTGAAACAAAGGAATAAAATTGATATTCTCTGTCAAAGTTGAAATGACTAAATTCTCCAGAAACATTGCCAGTCTGGGGATGAAGGGGAGAACTGACATCAGAAATCTGCACCACTGTGCAGCCCGCATTATTTGGAGAGATTTTAAAATGAATTTTGCACGTTGAATGGCAAAATATTCAGATGGCTAAGCAATTAAAAGCTATTGGATCTATATAACTCAAAAAGCACTAGGCAGCAGAATATCATTGTCAAGCCCCTTTATGCAAGGGACCATTTTAGTCATCATAGTTGAGGCTGACAACTTTTCTAATATTATAATTACTTCAGTTACGCATAAAATAGGCAAACTCCTACTGAAACATGCACAGCCTGTTTTTTCTTCAGAAAGAACAACACAGAGGCAATTTGCCTTTGAAGAGAAGCATTTTTTGTAACCTATCTGAAAGTTAGTAACTCTTTTAATCTTCAGCCTTTTTGCTATAGCGCGCATGGTAATTTAAAATCCACAAAACACAGACCATCAAAACACTTATCCAGCTATGGATAGTTGGAAAACTTTAAAGGTGCATCTGAAAACGGGCTTGAAAATTAAAATGCTGCATCTAATGCTGCTCTCTAAATAAAGATTCTTTCCCCATAGTTGTACCTCAAACAGTGGCCAGTTAGCAACCACAACTGACCATCCGACCGCCAACTCCGAACAAGGAATAGTTCCTAACAAGTCAAATTTTGATGCTATTAAATAAGATAGCGATATCTAACTGGGAAGATTATATTTTAAATAGCCTTGCTGTAGAACGTTTTTCTTTCTTTTTTTGTGCTTATTTCACCCACATTGTAATCAGATCAAGGCTTTGGAGGCAGAAGGCATCATCTCAAGCAAGAAACAGAAGGCTTTCAAGCTCGACTCTTGCTGTTGAAGACTGCCATGTGTTGTAACAAACGGCTTTGACTCACCAGCTCTCATGGCATAAAAGGGAAGATTGTGATGAGGAGCCTTGGGTTGCTCCAATATTTTGCATACATGCAAGAGGAAGCCAAATGAGCTTGCAGTGAAGGCCAAAAGGCCTCCTTCCCTTATGCAGAGCGAGATTCTCCTTTATGCTGACCATGTTCCACTAAAGGCACATTAAGCCAAGCAGAAGGGCGATACAGGCTTTGTACTAGCTCCGTGCACTAGAATGAATTTTATTCTCTTGAGATAAACAAACCTTGCTTTGTCCAGCCACTGGTTTTGGCGCAGCCAAAAATCAGCAAGTTCCTTGTCCTTCTCCAGAGCTACACAAAGTTCTACTGAACTTCACTGATACAGATGTGGTGTTGCAAGCAGCCCCGGAAAGCCCCTACACGCTATGAGTATTCAGGAGGCAACAAGGTCTTCTAATGAGCTGGGATAAAATGGAGAGGGCAGGCACAGTGAAAGACCAGAAACACATGGAAAACACAAATTCGCTCACTGATTTCAGTTTCACCTACTCTAGGCAACTGTACACACAAATCATTTAACGACAAGTATTTTCTTAACACTGCAAACTTAGTTGGCAAGACTAAGCAGGGTTTATTTCTTCTACCAAGTGGTTGGATACTTCTGATCATCGGGGACTAGTGCAGAAGTACACAGCCATAGCTACCCAACTAGCAAGAGGGATGGGGGATCAGCAGCAGCAAATGTATTAGCAAGGGAATCAAGAGCTTCTTGCCTTGATCAAATGTTTCTTATTAAAAAAGGAAATCACTTGCAAGTCCTTCTTGATCAGATAGTCTGTAAATACAGGTAAAAGGCCCTACTATACCTAGCCAAGTCACACAGGAGATGTGACAGTTGGTGAAGCACTTGTTAATAAATGAAAGGGTAGACTAGCTGAACTGAGACTTCTTTGTAGTAGAAATGTAATGTATGAGGCCTTAAACACAGCTGCTTATTGGCTCCACAACACCCACATTCAGCTCCTTCTGACTTTCCTCGTGCTGCATTAAAATCCCAAGTCAAATCGTGTCCAGGTAAACTTACAAATGGCAAAATAAATCCTCTGTAGGTGAAAAAAAAATAGCTTTGAAGGAGAATGTCTACAACCTCATTAATTTGCTAAGAGTACATAAAGGTTGAACAATTCAGAAGATGCTCAGATGCACCTTCATCTGAAGTTCTGAGCTTTAAAGCTTCAGAAGCAAAACAATGTCAGGGAGAAGAGACTGACAGTGATGTCTTGGGCTGGGAGTCAAGGGTTGGAGGGACTGCCTATACTAGACAAAATAGTCTCATGAAAATGATGCCACTAAGATTTAATTTATTGGCCTGTTCTAGGAAAGGTAATGACCTTAATATCATGTGGAGCTTATCAAGAGGTTACTCACATAGAGATATGCTGATTTATTTTCATAATAAATGGAAATGAAAGTCCAGCCACAAGAATTTGCTTGCAGGAATGAATTTATACCATCCATCCAGCTTTCTGTTTAGTATCAAAAGAGCTGATGAACATTTTAGCGATTCGTGGGGACCTAATTCCAACCCCTGCGAGAATCCCTGCAAGAATGCACTTTAAATTCATTTGTAAATAGAGCAAAAACCCCACCCCAATCTAACAAATATATGACGGGGAACAATGTCTCAGCAGAACAAGGATGGGCCCAATTTATCCTAAGTACTGTTTGTTTGCTGCACTGTGCCATCCATGAAGCACTACATAGTGCTTCTCTTACTAGACTGCTTGCTTTATGTACTACCTAAGAATATGCTCTTTATGGCCAAGTCATATATTTTTGAGATGTACATCTCTGAGAAGGTGAAAAGTGAATATCTATGTAAAAACCCAGCAGCCACTGTGGAAACTTGGCTACGTAGTCGACGCTGTGCTGCTGGCCCTGAAGGTGCTCAGCTCCCCCACTGGATCAGTCCCAGATAGCGAGGACAGGCTTTCTCCACACATGGGAATTACATCTGTTACATAACTTTCTCTATGCCAGTCCACAGAGCTGTTAGAAGAGCTAATTTGCTTGGAGAAGTTGATGCTTTCATGGCAGACAAGAGGACGATCATCATGCAAGAAAAAACAGAAAGGAAAGAGTCCCACGAACCAGCCCAAACAGAGGTGACAGAATGGCACAGGAGGCTTGAGAGCTGCCGTGCAAGTGTGCCGCGAGCGTGGTTTAGCTCAAGATAGTTCTAGCTGGGCTGCAAGCAGTGAGTCACAGACAGGAGGTATATTTATAGGATTTTGCTTCTTCAGAAGAAAAAATATGAAAGAATCAGAAATGACAGAGGAGTAAGAGTGCTGGATGATGGCAAACGACATATGGGGAACACAGGAGAGGGAGCTTTTGGAATCATTTCTGTAGCCTAACTCATATTGATCTCTGGGGGCCAGTTCACTTCTATTGGGAGAAGCTGGCTTCTGAGACTCCAGCTACAAGATGAAAACCTCGTAATTTCCAGAGTACCAAGTCAGCGTTTGCCAAGTTTCTCTATTCCTCCCTGCAAAACTTTTTTCTTTTAGGGTCAGTTGAAAATTTAGCATAACAGTCAGTTTTCCAGCAGGCTTAAGTTTTAAAGTTGAACTGATCAGATGAGTTAAGACTTGGAGGAGGAAGTTAGCATTTGCTTATCCACTCTGTAGTCTGAATTCTGCTGGGATTTCATATATGCAGGTGCACATGCATTTTCAGGTGTACACACATACAGCAGTTTTTAACTCATCATAGAGATACTGAGGCTATTTTCTCTTCTGAAAATACAGGAAAGATATGTGAGGAATGACACTGCTCTTAAGTAACAGCTGATAATTCTGATTTCCAGGTATGCTATTTTTTGCTCTCCAGGAAATAAATGCTGAATATGTCTCTAAGAGCTGACATGTTCAAGAGGGAGCATGTTATTTGAGCCACTCTTGAAGCACCATGTCCTTTTGGAAACAACATAAACCTAAGACCTTTCATTTCTTTTGCTCTCATCTACATATTCTCCTTCTGCCCTTAAGAAACCTAGGCAAGATTGAACACAATTTCATGAACAAGTTACTGTGTAAATTGTTACCTCTAATTTTACTGAAAATACTTCTTCAGAATTGCAGCTTCGGCTGCCATCTCCTCTTCTGTCCTCCACTTGTCAGGAGACTCCTCTTCTCCTTTGTCATGTCGTTGCAACTTTCGGGGGGAAAGGGAGAAAAAAAAGAAACAGAATTTGTTATTTTTTCCATTTTTCCTATTGTCAAATTCAGAGTGTGTCCGTATTCACCCAATCAAACTATTTGTGCGTCCATGGGATGGAGGGACCTGGTGATGGAGAGAAGATAGCACTGGTGGACTGTTCAGACTGCAGACAGTAGTAGGATTCGTAAACTGGCTTTGATGAAATTATTAGGATAAAGCAAGGTGCCAGGGTGAATGACATGCACTGACAGAGCGCACCTTTGTGAGCTGATGGTCAGACACCTAGCAAGTGTTTGAAAGGCTAACGCTGGTCGGTAATAGGATAACAAACACCCTCTGTTATTTTGAAGCGCCTGTTGCATCAGTGGAGTGAGCTTAGGGAGAAGCTGCCGATGGCACCTTGTCAGCAATTCATGTAAAATTTTCCCTCTGGCTTTTCCTCTGCCCATGGGGCCGGCTTTCTCATCAAAGACCTGTTGTGATAACAAGGCCCGACTGCAGCCGCTTCCCATCAGCAATTTGTACCAGTAATGTTCAGAACAAATATATTTCCTCCCTGCACGTAAGTTATTAGTCCTTCCTTGCCCTTGTTGAAAGCGAGACACGTCCTTACCCTAGACATAAACTCTTTTCTTCTTTTAAGCACACCATGTTTTAACTGGTGATTCAGTGGGGAAAAGATCAAAAGTATGTGAAACAGATGATTTTTGCATCTAGCTTGCAAAATAGGCTCACAAAAATAAAGTTCTGTCCCATATACAGTCAGTATTAAGTGATACTATCCCAGATATGACAACTTCAAACAGAGCCCCTGCCTCTACAGGGCAGCAGAGGGGAGAGTCCTCTTTTATAGTAAACATATTGGGCTAGCACTTGAACGACTATTTGTTCACGTGTACGCTCAAAAGAATGTCTGCCACTAATCAAGTGCAGACTACAGTTACAACAGACAGCAGAAACATTTGCATTAATTGGTTGCTTTATCTCAAAAGCATTGAGGATTTCCCGTGTGTCTCTAGGTACCAAGCACAGCACAGATTGTATTACAGCATCAGTGCTTCTGAAGAACATTATATCATCAACTTTTTGTTAACTCCACAAGCAAAGCTGGAAACTAATTAATTTGCACCTTTTACTTCTGGACAAATTTTAGTCTAGAAGATGAAGCAGTTGTTAAAAGCAGAGATGAAACAATACTGTATCTGCCAAGCAAACTGCATTACTGTATATGGCATGTTTAGCAATAAACTAGGATTATTAGCATATATCCAACTCACAAATACTTTTATTTGTGCTGCGCTTCTCCTACTCTGAATTTTGCTGCCAGCTATAGTCCTATGCAGGTTTCCATTCTGCAACACAGATTTCTTTCTGCTCAGCAGATGAAGCTGCATTAGAAAGCTATTTCCTTTCATGCCAAGACTGATACAATACAATAGCTATAGGCAAATAAAGGGTATTACTGTTTGACTAGTAGAGGACTAATCTTCATTGTTACACTAGCTCTAGGTGTGTTATAAATCCATCTTATAATAATGTTACAGAATTATGGATAAAGATTAAAATAAATAGGAATAGGTACACTGTACACACTACCAACATACATCATTTGTGTCTCCAGTGCTTGACTCTGGAGCCAGGTTGTGAAGTGTCTCTACATAATAATGCAAATTGTATCACATTTGAGCCTGGGTGACTTCCTGCAGGGGGAAGTGAAAGTTGGTGGTTCCTGGGGAGCCACCTCAGTTCCTCGGTTTGTCCCCAACAGCGTGGGAGTGATCTGCACCCTGCTTACCCAACTGCAGAGGGGAAATGAAAGGCGGAGGGACTCAAACCCATTGGCCACACGTTGGCAGAGCTGCAGCCCTGTCCGTGCGCCTGCTCTTACCCACTGTCCGTGCCTGTATTGCACAGAAGTAACTTGGTTTGGCTGGCCCCAAGAGCACGTTATGGGAGCAGCCTTCGTTATCCCGTACTTTCCATGGAGCGCAAGCGCACACGCTTCACAGAGGATGCACTGCGACAAGCTGAGGGGGTAAATCAATCATCTCGCTGAGCCGTAAGCTGGTTTTCTAAAAAAGCAACGTCTTCCCCTTTCAACCTGCTGTCAGCAGGAGATACAACTGGCAGCAGCCAAAGGCAAAGGAGGGCAGCCCCCGTTCCTCAGGGTCACCTTGCTTAATCTGCAAGAAGTGCTTTCAGAGACATGCTTTGGTGGTGGTGGTTGTCCTTCGCCAGCCTGCTTCTGCAGAGCTTGAGTACCAGCACCAGCAGCTGCTGCTGAGACCAGCAAAGGGGGGATTTGCTTTTTAGTTTTACTTTTGCTTACTCAAAGAAACTGAAGTGAACAGTAGTAAGGAGGCATACTGTGAAATGTCTTTGGTTGTTGTCTAAATTAAAACACTGTGAGAAGTCACAGTCCGTGGTGACTTCTCAAAGCTGGCAGCGGAGAGAGAGCGTTTCTTTTGCTACATAACTGCTAACCTTTAAAAATAATCAATCTTTGACTTAAGGTTAAACTAGATATAGAGGGAGCGGCAACGAATTCTCAAAGCTTGCCTAGAAAACCAGTCTACTTCGATAGCCCTGGCTGCTGGTACACAGCCTGCAGTACAGTATAGCAAAGCATCACAGAAATACCTGAGAGCAACTCAGCCCTACTCATCACCCCTACTCACACGTGCCTCTCACTTTTAAAGCATGTACCCACGTTGTGTGGATACACTGGGTACGATAAACCACAGACTGTAGCGTTAACTCACTACTACAGCCCATTTACTCATTTTTGACTGATGAGTATTATTCCGTTATAAATTAGCTACGTCCGCCCAACCAGCGTCCCAGGATTAATCTCTGTTAAAACCTCTTGCTGTGTCAGTAATTTCTGAAATGCAGTAAGTGATTAGCACCACAATGACTCTCAGTTTTTGGTATTACGTAAACATCACCACAGAGATTTGGAAAACTGCTTTTGCTGGCTGCCTACCCTACTTAGGTGTTTTCATCCTGCCTTTCCAGCACAAGCCGAGTCACACGGCTGGCCAGCTGGAAACAGAACTAAATTATGGAGAGCCTGGCTCTATAGAGGATGTTCTGGATGTTAAACACTGGGCATGTTCAAAATCAACAGTACCAATAAACGGAAGAATTATCTCATGGGTTCTTATGTAAGGTACTTTTAAAGAAGGCTCAGCTCTCAAAGTGAGAGCATGAGTAAGCAATACTTAGTTTAGTTAAACATTATTTGTTAAAGAGGCTGAGATAATCTCCATAATATTTGGGCTGAGTTGGAAAGCTGATTTTCAGGAAAGAAGAAACTATCAGTATCAAATTGCATTCATTTTGCATTCGTATGTGAAACAAAATTAACAGTCAATACTTGTTTCTAAGGGATTTCTGTGTCTTGGAGTGTTTTCCTATCCAGACACGTATGCAAATCCCAGCTGCGCATCTCTATAAGCATCTGACCTGCTATTGAAAATTTGGATTGTTGAGGGGAAGCAATGCTCTCCTTCACCTGCAGGATGCTCCAAGGTTCTGCTCAAAGCAAAGGAAAAACAGATACCTCTACTTTCCAGTTACCCATCTGTAAAGACTAGTGATTTGCCCCTTGTTTTTTAGCCAGTAAGACAGACTCAGACTGGAGAACTTTAGCTGATGTCTCTACTCAGACAGACATATTCAAATACAGACTATCTTGAGATATTTTCTGCAGAAAATTCTACATAAATTTTCTAGCAAGCTAGAAAAGCTGATAGCTCTCAGAAAGAAAAAAAAAAAAGAATACTTTATTTAGAGTCCCACATCACCTGCTTGATATTATTTTCCATTAGAGTAGTTTTAAACAGATGTCCCTGGCCAATCTGACTGGAGTTGAAGACTGACTTATCTACATCCTCTCAAAAAAAAAAACACTTTTGCTACCTTCTCTCCGATTACCGGAACAACGTTTCCATATCACACATAGGTCTCTAAACAACAGCCGTTGCTCTTCTTGCAGTGAAAGTCTCTAGGAGAAACTGCTCAGGGCTCCATCAACTCTGCAGCTTCAGAACCTCTTCTAGAACAGATTTTTGAGTTTCCAGTGGCAAAAAGCAGCAGCTGTTTCAAGTGAGGAGAAAGCAGCCGACACAGAAGTTACAGCAGTCGCTTCTGTGCAAACCCCTCAAGCTCCTGCTCAGTTTTCAAATCACTTCACCTGAGTAAATGGCACAGATTTGCTGCAGGTCTTCCAGGGACATGCTCAGGGCAGCAGGACCCCGCTCGCGGCTCTTGCAGAGCTCCAGAGAGTGCTAGGCAGGTGCGCTCCCGACGAGTGCAGGATGGTGGATACCTGACCTGCTGCCTGACCTCAACCTGAGCTTCCCCGCAGACACAGAGGAGCGAGGACACACAGTGTGCTCTCAGTGCTGTTAGGGTAACGCTGGCAAAAGGGGAGGTGGACAAATGCAGGTACGAATACGCAATGCCTATGCTAAGTGAAAGAAAGAAAAATTAGGAAGCTATAACACAATAAAAAAGCTAGATGCTTCCCTCAGTGCACCTGGGAAGCCTGACAGGAACAGAGACAAATACAAAGGAATGGACCTCTATGGTATTTTATATTGACATGAACTTCATCTTCTAAATATAACCAAATCTTTTCCATCCAGACTGCACTGCAGCAAGGAAGTAGAAGTTCTGGATATTGTGTCAGCAATTCCTCCCGCATCGCAAAGCGGAGGCTCTGCTGGAGGAGGCTGCCTACAGACAGCATTGCATTGCTGCAGAGACGGGTGCAGCGCCGACACGCAGGCAGTGCACGATGCAGTCACGCGGCAGTCTATAAATACTTTTCTGTAGTGTGCCAAGCTAATTAACATTTTAAAACTGCTGATACGTTGCCTGCTTCTGTAAGAGAAAGGTAACGTGAAAGCACCACATCACATAGAGATGTTCTGTTGCAGAATTCAGAAACCCTCAGACTCTCTGAAACCAAAAGAAAAATCATTATT